TTCCTGCCCGGATGTTGTGGGAGTTGTCTCGAGGCGCATCCTATTGACCACCTCGCGCGGTGACACCTCCGGGATGGTAGGGAGGGGGGAAGGTCGTGATGGAGTGACCCTCCCCGCGAAATACCCCGTGGACATCACGGGGGACCCGCATGTCGTTGTGGTCACCGTGCGGGTGGTCAATGTGGCGGATCCGGACGCCGCAGGCAACGATGGCGGTGTTGTTAAATCTATGACTCCCGCACACATGCCGCAGATGGAAGGCGGCGTGGCGGGAGTCACCTGGGGGGGCGGGGTCCCACGTTGCGGGGTTGGCGTCCTCGCCAAACCCCTCGCCCCCCCAGAAGCCTGCAGCGTCAGCGCGGCACTTAGATTTCGTACCGCGGTGCCGGCTGGGGATGTCATCGCCGGCAGGGCCCCTTGGGTTATCCTCCCTGATGTTGGGGGCCCCCGCGGTACCCCCCTGGCCGATGTCCGGGCCAGGGGGCCCGTCTTTGTTGCGCACTTCTCGGCCGGCACACTTGACGCTCGAGTACGGCTCCTGGTATAAGGACCCCCGCTGGATGTCGTCGGGGGGGTCCTCTCGGGCGTCATCCTCCTCGCGCCCCCCAGACCGCCGAAGGATGGTGATTCGGCGGCCGGAGACCTCCTGGGAGGCGCACGTGCCGGCCTAGACGCGCCGCTCTTCACGAGAGGCACGCTCGTTGATCGCCGCAAATTTCGGATATTATTGGACCCCGCCTGGCTGGTGGTGGTTGGCGGGGCCCCTGCGATCCTCCTCGATGTCGTTTCGCCCCCGCTGGATGGTCTGCGGGGGCTTTTGCGTGCCTCTCTTGACGCCATGTGAGACGGGCTTCTCCTATTGGCCGCGCCATTTTGTCTAGTGAATCCGCCATTACCCTGTGGATGCGCCATAGTGGCGGCCGACGTCCCTCGGGCGGTGCTCAATATGGCGGCCGTCATGGCGGCCGATCCTAAGATGGCCGCACTTGTTGATGTTGTGGCCAGCGACGAAGATGGTGGACGTGTCGCTGGCCCCGCTGCTGTGACGGCCGCGTATGAGGGGGACTCTCCTGCTGTTCCTGGTGGTCGGGAGTATGTTGCTGCTGCAGATGATGTTGCAGGTGGTGTGATTGTGGACGTCGTGGCCGTGGAGTGTGACGTGGGTGGCCGCGAGGATGTACGGCTTCGCGACGATGCTCCAGCTGATGCCGACGCAGATGGGGCGGCTGCAGAGGCCCGGGTCCGCACACCTGAAAGCCCACCACTATTAGTTAATGTTCTTTGTGCTCCGCGGGTGCCGCGACACGCAACCTCTGTCCGGGGGACGTGCTCCTTCTCATAATGGTCTTTAACCTTTCTATAGGGGACCGCGCCGGTCCCCCTAAAATTACATATGGAGCACACGTATGTAATAGTGTCCCCCGGATGAAATTTTCTTAAGTGTCTACTTAGATGCTGCGTGTCGCAGAAATCACCCCTCGACCTAACATTTCTGTCGCCGCTCCCCCAGCACCGTACGCAACGCACCCGCTCCTCTAGGGGATACGGGAGCACAATTTCTATGGGACCCTGCGCCATAACTATACAAATAAATAAATAAATAAAACAATTAATAAAATATGGACGCGCAGTGTGTGTGGGACCCCGCGCGCGGAGCGCGAGGGCGGCACGCGGCGGGCTAACCTACACACGATATATGTAAGTCACCCGCGGCAGCGTGACACGGGATGGCGGCACGCGGTGACAGCAACAGGTGTAACAACGTACCGCCACACCGAGACACACCGCACACACGCACCACACCCGCGCACCGCACACTCACCACACCACTGCACGTCACTGTGGCACAGAGCCCCAGGTCGAGGGCACCCTAACCAAACTCGCGGAGCACACGCGTCGCGGCACCTCACTTTTCGCTCGCACGCAATTTTCGCTTCTCGGCGAACTTAATAATAATCGCGGACACTCTCACTCGCGGAATATAAAAATACTCAGTAAATAAAATGCTTCTCTGAGCCAAGTCTTGCACTCTAAATGAATGGAAAATGTCCACGCGCGGAAAGAAGTTATGCGCGTGGACACCCCGGGGATCCAGACTACCGCACGGATTATCGGATTACCTGAGTGCAAGCGGATTATCCGCCGCGGATTAATACCTAATAATCCAAGTGAAATTATGTATTAATTAGATTATTAGGCCGTTCCTGACGGTACTGCAATGCCAGGCCGACCCGCGGCAGAGTCGGAGCAAGCTCCGGTCACCCGCCAGGTTCCAAAAATCAGTTTAATATTCTGAATCCCCTATGGGGATTGTATCAGATATTAAGCTGATAAGAACAGATACTACACTTTTGATCTTGGCTCAATGAGCCGAG